TCTTTCTCCAAATCTTTACAGGAGCAGAAAGCCTCATCTTTCTCCCACAGAACAGCTGGTGGTTTCGAACTGCTGACCTTGCAGTTCGCAGCCCATTTGGTAACCACTACGCTAGCAGAGCTCCTTGGGGAACTCATTACTTGATTTGATTTCTGTGGGGACTTTTGCTTTTGCCGGTTTCTAATTGATCATGGATTCAGCTGCTCTAGGGATCCTGCTTTAGTTGGAGAACCAGCCTTTCCCAATACAGCACCTACCTACCTTCCTGGTGCAGGAAGTCCCCCTCAAAACAAACAAAAATCTTCCTTTTTGTTATTTTCTGGTTCCTGGTTTGGTTTGGTTTTGCAGGCAGGAAGGCAGACAGAAGGGAGGGATCCTTGAAGGGTAGCCCCACCTCTGATGAAAATATCAGGACACTGAATCCATCATAATTCCAGAAGCCAGAGTCCGTCCACCTTAAGATATCTAATTTTATGTTTCACTATTCCTAATCTCTGATAGCGTAGTGGTTACGAATTGGACTGCGAACCGCAAGGTCAGCAGTTCGAAACTACCAGCTGTTCCAGGGGAGAAAGATGAGGCTTTCTGCTCCCGTAAAGATTTACAGCCTCAGAAACCCTGTACAGGGTCACTATGAGTCGGAACCGACTCCATGGCACATAACAACAACAACAATTCCTAATCTTGGTGTGGCACTGTGGGTTAATGCACTGGACTGCCAAAGTCAGTTTGAACCGTAAGGCCGGCGGTTCAAGCTCACCAGCTGCTCCTATACAGGGGTCACTATGAGTCAGAAGCCACTAAGCAGCACTTGACAACAAAAACATTTCAAATACAGAAATGGAATTGCTTAATCAGTAAATTCAACCAATTTATCTAAAGAAAAATTTCCTTATAGTTAACAGGGCAGAATTTAATTCCATGCCACACCACCACCATCATTTTAATATTCTTTCTTACCTGTTGACTAGTTCCCCTTTCTCTGTTACTTTTTTTTTTCTTTTAATATCACATGCGAGCAATATTTTTCTGAAGGCAATTCAAAAATAACTGCAGCAGTACATCAACAGGGAACTTCCAGAAATTCAAGCCTGATTCAGAAGAGGACGTGGAGTGCAGGAGATCTTTGCTGACTTCAGATGAATTTTGCATGAATTCCCCAGATGAAGGTAATCCATCTAGTAATGTTCGGTGCAGCTGAGTCAGTTCCAATTTATAGCGACCCTGTAGAGGATTTCCAAGGCTGTAATCTCTGTGGAAGGAGCTCTGGTAGCATAGTGGTTATGAATCGGGCTGCGAACCTCAGGGACAGCAGTTCGAAACTACCAGCAGCTCCGTGGGAGAAAGATGAGGCTTTCTACTCGTAAAGATTTACAGCCTTGGAAACCCTGTACAGGGTCGCTATGAGTCAGAACCGACTCGACGGCACATAACAACAACAATCTTTGCGGGAGCAGAAAGTCTCGTCTTTCTCCTGTGGAGCGACTAGTGGGCTCAAACTGTCAACCCTGTGGTTCGCAGTTCAGTGATTATCCGACAGAGCCATTGTACTGAACCTAGAACTACTATTTGCAGTCAGGTTTCTTTTGAAAAAAAAAAAAAAAACCTGTACATACCAACATCAGAAATCAAGTGGAAAAATACTTTACCAAGACTTTGACTACTACTGTATTCTATGGAATTAGAAGGTTTTCACGAGGAGTCAATGTTAAAATAGCTCATTGATTGGACATTTGATACTAGGTGAACAGATGAAGATAAGATTCTTTTATTTATTTATCATTTACATCTAGTAAATGACATCTTTTTCTGAATGATATATGATGTGCCAGGCACTGTAGTAAGAAGTTGATAGACATGTCATTTGATGCTCACTTCAATAATGATCTCAACCCTGAGAATTAGGTAATTTTTCCAGGAGCACACAATTAGCAAGTGATAGAGTTAGACTACTCTATCTTGAAGACCATACTTTAGACTGCTCAGGTTGATGATGTTATTCTAACCCATTTTCCAAGTATGTGGAAGAGGAGGTGGTTGAAGATTAAACACAAAATCAACGTTGAAGTCACAGACAAGCCCACTCCCAATTGTTCTCCATCTGTTACTTTTAGGCTCTTTTAAAACTTATTAAACATTTAGTGACTCTGGCATCCAAGAGGAGACTTGGCTAGATAAAAAAAAAAAAAACACTCTAGAAACTGTCTAATAGTCATCAGTGTGGTCTTTGTTTGAATCTTTGAGAGAAAACAGTTGCAAAAAGTCATTTTGAGAGAACTGAGGAAATCTAATTACTTGGTGTTATTATAGTAAATAACTTAATTTTGTTACTGGTGATAATGACAAAGTGATTATATAAGAAATGTCCATTCGTTTTGAGACGCCTGCCTAGCATGTAGAAGTCAAAATAGATAACTTTATGGATACACGAAAGTTTAAAAATCAGAAGCACTTAAACTTGTGAATCTTCACTCAATGCACAATAAAAAGTACCACCCCCCACCCCCGACACACACACACACACAAAAATTCAGAGGCTCTTATAGGGAAAAACTGGGATAACTATTGTTACATGAAGGGGATTGCAATTATTGTGATGAAACAAAGTATCTGATTTGTTGAATGTAAAACTGATGATCTGTTCAGTAACCTTCACTCAATTCACAATAAAAAGATAAAAACAGAAACAGAGGCACTTACTTGGTGGGTGTAAATAGAACAATCTGAAAGCAGAGCCTTAACTCCATTTTCAAGTCTTGAATCCACGATGAATTTCAAAAGTTACCTTTTCTAACAGCAGTTCCCCTGACCTTGATGTTGACCTGACTTTGATGCGGACTTAAATAAATAACTTCAGGGAGAAGTTCTTTTTTTCTGAGGTCTGGCAGGTGTTGGAAACCATTCATCTCTTCCCAAAGGGCCTTTCCACTCTGGTCAAGTAAATTCATGATGTGAAAGCTTGTACCTGAAGGGTCCAGACGCACAGCATTATCAATAAATCTTTACACTGGAAAATAAAGATATGATTGAGAAAGTAATTTTGATAACCAACTCACTGCCTTTGAATCAATGCAGACTCACAGTGACCAGACAGGACAGAGAAGGACTCCATAAATCATGATTTCCAAAGCTGGACATCTTTAACAGAAGCATATTGTCTCATCTTTCTCCAACAAAATGGCTGGTGGGTTCAAACCACCCACCACCTGAGAAATCTGTCTTCTGTTATCCTGTAACCATCCTGTAATAAACTGAAGAATATGTATACTTTCAATTACATACTCTTAACAACCAATCATGTAATCCCATGTATCTGGTATCTACCTATCCCTACTTTCAGACATGCTGCCTTTGACTCCCGATTACCTTTCTGCCAATTATGAGTCTGTAACTTTTAGTTCCTGCTACAACTTCGCAAAACTGTGTTCTTCACTGTATAATGGGAGTGGCCATTTTCACTGTCTTTATTCCTCAATAAACTCCTGTTGCTTTTACTTTAAGCAGTCCTTGAAGTTGTAGGAGTCCTGGTGTAGTGCTGTGGGTTAATCCGTCAGATTGCAAAGCCGTTTGAAGTGCAAGGTTGAAAGTTCAAACTCACCAGCGTCTCCCTGGAAACCCTATACAAGGTCGCTATGGGTCAGAACCGACTGGATGGCACTTAACAACAACAAATGATGTTGTTACTCATTGACAGGATTTTCAGTCAAGAAAATCAAAACAAAATTAAATGTGGCCAAATGCTTCTATTGCTGTGTTCAAAGGAATGCACTTTTTAAATCAAATTGTACTTGAGCAAACTGACAATGCATGAGACTTCTCATTGGACCCAAACCCTCCTGCCTCGATAGACGTTGTTGTTGTTGTAGTGAAGTGCCTGTCTAGGGTTTCCAAGGAGCAGCTGGTGAGCTTGAACCACTGACCTCGCAATTCAAACGACTTTGCTGCCTGACACATAAGCCCACAGCGCCACACCAGGACTCCGGTAGACAGACACACATTCATGTTATATATATAGCATAAATGATACCATGAAAATCATAAATGGTTATTTTAGTAGGCTTTTTGTTAGCACTCTTGCATTAGTAAAGATTAATTTTCATATGACACATTGTAATGTTTCTTTATGAAAAGTGAGCCCTATGTCTATTTCTGTAAATTTGTAGTGATTAAGATTGTGTGTGTGTGTTGTATATTTCCGTCCACATATACTTTACAATTATTTTCCTAGTTTATGATCTATCTTTCAATTTTGTTTATGGAGCCTTTTATGAACCAGTTGATCAATATTTTAAGTTTGCCGGGTTTGTATGCCAAGAAACTCTTTCCAGTCTTCACGAGTAAACAGTGTGCCCTTTTACTTCGATTATTTTGATGGTTTCATTTATTACATTTACATTTTTAATCCACCTGGGATATGTCTATGATCTCAGCCCATTTTCTGGCTCCTCTCCCAGAAAACAGTTATTAGGCGTTGCCTAGCAACCTCTCCGTAAATTGGAATAATCTCTTTGGAGGTGGAGGGAACAGCTGCACTCGCTTCCAACTTGAGGGCAACTTTAAAGTGTTACCTAGCAACCTCAATTAGGTGGATGTGATTGGACTGTTTCCCAAACTCCCGTCTGTCAAAAGAACGTAATTGGAAACTTACTCTCCCTCTTAAAAACCAAGGGTAGTTTACGTGTTGCATATTAACCAAATCTCTTGCTCGTCGGATTTTGAACAGAGTCGGAAATAACATTTCCCCGCTCAAAGATGGCTGTCAATGGCGCCTCTTTGAATGTGTTCCTCTCCACAGTCCTGCCAAGAACCCAGTTACCCGCATAGAGCTCTTAAAAGAGCTCGCAGACCTCTTCGGAGTTTCCCCTGGATGAGCCTGACAGGAACTGGAAAACAGGCGCCCTGTCTGCCCCGCACCAACATGGCCGCGGGAGCGTCAGCAGCAGCACGTAGCTGCCAGGCGAGGATGCGCGCGCCGCATAGTCACACTTCCGATCATTCCGCCCCGGAGGCGGCGGTGGCGGTGGTGGCTGTCGCTCGGGGCATGGTCCCCGGGTCCGAGGGCCCGGCCCGCGCCGGGGGCCTGGTGGCTGACGTGGTGTTTGTGATCGAGGGCACGGCCAACCTGGGGCCCTACTTCGAGGGGCTCCGCAAGCACTACCTGCTCCCGGCCATCGAGTGAGTGGGCTTCCGCGCCCCGCCCCTGTCCTCCTCCGCCCCCTTTTTACCTCCCACCTGACCCGGACTTTCCCGCCGCCCTTCGCAGGTATTTCAATGGTGGTCCTCCTGCGGAGACGGACTTCGGAGGAGACGTGAGTCTCAGGACTCTTGGGACTGAGGGGGGCGGGGGATTCCCAGGTCTGAGGGAGGAGACGCGATCCTGCACCCCGATCCCCGGGTCTGAGAGAGGAGAGGGAAATCCCACCGCGACTCACAGGTCTGAGGTGGGGGGCCCAGGTTAAGTGTTTTTTCCTCTTTCACTCTCAGTATGGGGGGACCCAGTACAGCCTCGTCGTATTCAACACAGTGGATTGCGCCCCCGAGTCCTACGTCCAGTGTCACGCCCCTACCAGCAGCGCCTATGAGTTTGTCACCTGGCTCGATGGCATTAAGTGAGCACCTTCCCTGCCTGGGGCGGGTTGGGGGACCTGGTGAGGAATGGGGATTGAACGGGTGTTTGTGGGTAAGCTGAAAGGCCTCTTTGAGAAGGGGTTGTGTTTTTGTCCCCAAGTCCCTTATGTGGCAGGTTCTGTGTGATATCTGGTGTGGAAGCAGGAAAACCTTCTCCGTCAGGGGGGCTTGGTTGAGCCCTGGTGTCTGCCTCTGCCTCCATTTGTGACTGGAGTGGTGACCCCGTTTTCTATATGGCCCCAGGGCTCCTTCTGATGGGCACACTGGCCCCTGGTTGCAAAATGGTTAAACGCTCACCTACTAATTAGGAGCAGTCATACTCTGTCAGCCATCCCTAAGAGCTGGAATTGACCCAATGGATGCCAGAGCTCTGCCAAGTGAATCCTTCAGTAGTTTGGTTGGGATTTTGATAGTTCACAATGCGTTCAATTGCAGTGTTCCACCACAACCTAACTCTCAGACCCAGGAGCTCCTGCTCCCACTGTTCCTAACATAGGCCAGGTCATAGATGGTATTATTAGTTTTTATTTATAATACTTATCCATTGTTTTGGAACAAATTATTGTCCCTGGGCTTAGGTCACCAGTTTGAGGTGGTGGTTCAGACCCACACAGGGACCCTGTAGAAGAAAGGGCTGGTGGTTGGCTTTGAAGATTACAACCAAGGAAGCAGTTCTACTCTGTAATACACGGAGTTGCCATGATTGACAGCTAACGATAATAACAGGAGGTCGCAGAGAAATGCTTTGTAAAACAGCTTAATCATATATCTACTCCTTGCAGTGAACTTAGAACAAGACGTCTACGTAAGCAAATAAAAATGCTTTGTAGCGCGCTGAGGAATTCTGCCAATCCACTGATAACATTTTGAGCCCTCATTTATCGCTCCCAGTACTCTGTCACTGAACCTCCTCCATGTGCCTTTCTAAATATTGTTTTTGTTAAACTGGAGGTAGGTCTATGCCAAAAATGTGACACCAAACCTGCTAAAGCCCTCTCCGTTCAGTTGGGTTTGATAATTCATTGCAGAACTTATACCATAAGTGTTTGGTGTTGTTAAGCGTGTTTGTTGTTCGTAAGTGCCATTGAGTCAATTCCGACCCATAGCTACCCTGTATAGGGTTTCCAAGGAGCAGCTGGTGAGCTTGAACCACTGACCTTGCAGTTCAAACGGCTTTGCAGTCTGGCGCATTAACTCACAGCGCCACCCCAGACTCCACCATATTTGTAGTTATGGGATTTATTAGAGAAGTTAACAGGTTAGTGTTGTTACTAAACTCTTTTAGGGCTGCTGAGAAATGCCTGCGGGACACACCACTCCTTAGTCTCAGCCTGAAGGCACTCTAAGCCTCAGCCTGAAGGCACTCTGCTGGAGCTTAGTGGGTCAGACAACTTAACCCCACCCCTACCCAGTTCAATGCCTAGAGGCACACCCCACTTTGTGAGCAAGCCTCTTGCCCAAGTTACTTAGCTCTATTTGATCCAAGGGCTAGAAAGTCCACCACTCTTACTCTTGTCTTGTGTTTCGGGCTGTGGGTTCTGGTGCTGCAACTCCTCTGTCACACTTCAGGGGTCACAGCTCTCTGTCCATGGATTGAGGAGAGTCATTGCGCAGGGAATCTCAGAGTCCAAAGGACCCATTCCACTCCTGGCTCTTCTTGAATGGTAGTGAAGCCCCTCGCTGCTTCTGAAAGGGCTCATTTTATGCTCGTGCTAGAGTTTCAAGTTTTTGCAATTCCAGTAAATTCTGCTAACATCCCCAGATGATTCTTGTCATCTTATCAGTGTCTTTTCTTCTCCCACCTTCTCTTACCCACCAAGAAAGTTGTTTGATGGGAGATACCTGGACTAAGACTTCTTGTTGCTATGTGCCGTGGAGTCGGTTCCGACTCATAGCGACCCTGTACCGGGTTTCTGAAGCTGTAAATCTTTACGGGAGCAGAATGCCTCATCTTTCTCCCGCGGAACAGCTGGTAGTTTCGAATTGCTGACCCTGAGGTTCGCAGCCTGATTCGTAATCACTACACTACCAGAGCTCCTTAGACTAAGACTAGAAGAGCCATATTAAAGAATTCACTGCATCCCAGTCTCAGAAAATCAGGTTTTCTTCACACTCTGTAGAAATGGTCTATGGATGATGTCTGACCTCTAACCTCACGCAGCAGGGAAACCCTTCTGCATCAGCCTAAGGCTGATTCCTGTGAGGTGAAGGTCAGACACACCTCTTCTCTCTAATTTTTTTTTTTTTTTTTTTTTTAAAACAAATTCTAACACCAGCCACCCCTTCCACGGCTTCTCTGCCGGGATCAATCATTTGATCCAATAACTGCCTAGAACTCTCAGCCTTGTGCTGAGGATTATGGGATTTATCAGTGAAGTGTAAGATTACAGTTCAGGAGGAGAGATGGCTCAGGCACTAGAATATAGCTGCTGGTTAGAACAGCTTCTGTGTCATGTCCAGAGGCCAACTTCACCCCTGGCCCTTTGGGCTGGCCTCTGCCCTGCTTGCACAGGTGTTACAAAGCTCTTAATTCCCCAGTAAGTGTCCATAGCCCCGCCCCCACCCCCTTACTGGTGGAAGGCAATCAGCTCTCTTGCTTGACGAAGCTCACTACACCCTCTCCTCAATGTCCCCCAGTTCCCAACTCCCAGGCCCCTGGATCTCAGGGGTTCTCAGCACACTTCCCACTGTTTTTCTTGATGCTTGTGTAATCCTCCTTACCTTTGAGATACCTCTTTTTCAGCCTAGCTGGATAGCAAAACTGGCTAATATAATTAGGGTTTCATATACCTTATATAAGAAGCTCTAGTAGCATAGTGGTTACGAATCGGGCTGCTGACCTCAAGGTTGGCAGTTCAAAACCACCAGTGGTTCCGTGGGAGAAGAATGAGGCGTTCTGCTCCCATAAAGATTTACAGCCTGGAAACCCTGTGCAGGGTCACTATGAGTTGGAACCAACTCCACAGAACTTAACAACAACCATATACCTTATTTTAAGGATCTCTGGTAGTGAAGTGGTTTTGAATCGGGCTGCTAACCTCAGGGTCAGCAGTTTGAAACGACCAGTGGTTCTGCTGGAGAAAGATAAGGCTTTCTGCTCCCATAAAGATTTACAGCCTCGGAAACCCTATGCAGGGTCTCTATGAGTCGGAACCAGCTCCATGGCACACCACCACCACCACCACCATACCTTATTTGGAGTCCAGGTGTGGCACTGTGGGTTAATGACTTTGTACTTCAAGGTCAGTTTGAACCACAAGGTCAGTGGTTCAAGCTCACCAACCGCTCCTAGGAAACCCTATACAGGGTCACTGTGAGTCAGAACAGATTCCACACACTTAACAACAACATACCTTGTCTGCATGGATCCACTTTATTTGCATTATTAGCAAATTTTCCAGTCCCCATGGTGGACCAAAAGGATTTTATGTGCTTACTTCCTCCCAGTCGTTTGTTGGGAGCTACTGAACCATAACTAGAAAAGCCAAGTAAAACAATCCGCTGTTACTACATTCTCCCATATCTTTTATCTTGAGTGTTTGTACCTGGAGGAACAGAGAGTGCAGTGTGATTTTCCAAAATGTCCTTGCTTTGGGAAGATTACTCTCTGATGCTACCATCCTACAAAGGCGGTCTTCCCCACCCCCACCGCCCCTGTACCCCACAACTGCTGCTGTTTCGGCTCTTACTGCCATTAAGTCAATTCCTACTTGTGCCGACCCCATCGTTGGCATGTAGCCAGGTGTGTCTTCTGAGACACCTCTGAATTGAAGCATCAGCTTTTTAACTAGTAGTCGAGGGCTTTAACTGCTTGCTCCACCCAGGGGCTCCCACAGCTAGTGACTCAGAGTTCGACTAGAACTTGTTACATGCCTTCCAATTCGTTTTGGCTCATAGCGACCCCTGTATAGGATTTCCGAGGCTATAGATCTTGATGGGACCAGGAAGCCTCATCTTTCTTCTGCAGAGTGGCTGGCGGGCTCGAACTGCTGACTTTGTGTGTTTCTCGTCCAGTGCCTATCCTATATGGAGCCACCGTACTCCAGAATAGAGCTAGGAAGGTAAATAACATGTACAACGAATGGACAGACAGTCCACCATACAGTCACAACACCTTGTGGAACTCTAAAACAAAAAGCAAAAGCAAAACAAAATCACCACCCAGTTCCTATCAAGTGTACTCCAGCTCTCGGTGACTCCGTGTACGTCAGAGTAGGACTCTGTTGCATGGGATTTTGGTGGATGATTTGTAGAAGTAGCTCAGCAGGCCCTTTCTTCTAAGATGCCCTGGTTGATACAAACCATTTAATGTGTTTGCCTGTCATCCTAAAGGTTGTTTCCACCTTGTTGGAGGCCCATTGCGCCGTGGTATTGTGAATTGTGGTCATTCATCCCTCTATTCATTGTACATGTGCTATTGTGAACACCTGGCTCTACCCAGCTTTGTGTGAATACTTAGGAGTCCCTGGGGAGTGAAACAGGCAAGGACCTGGGCCTTGTTGGGTGTGGTGGCAGGCTGGGCAGAGTGCCCAGCACACAGGATGTCTTTGGTAAAAACATTCGTTTTGACCAGGACCTCCTGGGACCTGGGGGACCTAATAGCCTGTTAAATAGGGACTGTCAAGGCATGAGGGAATTATATTGTGGAGAACAAATGGAAGGTATCTCTATCTCAAGTCATACAAAGACCCGGCTGAATATTGTGTCTTGATTTTTGCCAACAACAGGCAGGCAGGAGCCAGGGGTGGACCCAGGTTTTCGTTCATTCTGTGAGTTCCACCCTAAGTTACATGACTGTGAAAGTCCAGTGTAAAATAGGGTCTTTTCCCAAAAATTCCTGGAGAAATGGAGCTGAAAGAGAATAGAATTTTCCCATGACTTATTGAAGCCCCCTCCTTATAACTGGGCCCCTCCTGGCCTTCTGCTTTCAACGACACAGAGGCACTAAATTGGTCTCTCTCTCTTCCCTCCCCCAAATCAATAGTATAAAGAGCTCTGGTAGCATAGTGGTTACGAGTTGGGCTGCTAACCTCAAGGTCAGCAGTTCAAAACTAGCAGCCTTTCTGAGGGAGAAAGATAAGGCTTTCTGCTCCCATAAAGATTTACAGCCTCGGAAACCCTATACAGGGTCACTATGAGTCAGAACTGACTCTGCAGCACATCACAACCACCAAATCAATAATAAGTTTTTTGTTTTTTTTTTTCATTGTGGCAGAGAATATATACTGAAAAACCTTCGACAAATGAGCTGCTTCTATTTGTTCAATTCCGATTAGGGCCTAGGCCGCTCCTCTGAACTAAGGTGACAGGTGTCTTGTCCCTTATGCTATTGGCCTGGTGCCATACCAGCACTGAAGATGAGACTGTGTCCCCGTGGATCTGAGATTAATGCAGCTCGGGGAGGGGCAGCCTGGGAGCAGGCTGCTCAGGTGGTCCTGAAGGCTGAGTGTCTCTCCCCACAGGTTCATGGGTGGAGGAGGTGAGAGCTGTAGCCTCATCGCCGAGGGCCTCAGCACCGCCCTGCAGTTGTTCGATGACTTCAAGAAGATGCGAGAACAGATGTACGTAAGCCCAGGGGTCTAGAGTCCAGAGGCGCTGTTTGCAGAGGAGGCCTGGCCAGTGTCCAGTCTCAGTCACCCTGTGTGCAAGTCAGCCAGAGCTGGGTCACCTGCCTGCTGGGCAGCTTAGAGCCAGCTGCTTCACCTCTCTGAGCTGCAGTGTTTTCCTTAGTAATGTGGGGACACTGCCCCCTGACTTCAGACTGGCGGGCCACCTGCACCTCAGCCTGGTCCCTCTTCAGGGTCCCTGCTGCCCCCACTCCATGGCTTTCCTTGTCCCCAGCAGTGGCCAGACACACCGCGTCTGCCTCCTCATCTGCAACTCGCCGCCGTACTTGCTGCCTGCTGTGGAGAGTACCATGTACTCGGGGTACACGACAGAGAAACTCGTGCAGAAGATTGGGGAGGTGAGGGTCTGGGGCCACAGGAAGGGTCGGATGGACCACGGGCTTGGAACTGGATTCTGGGGTTTGAGGGAGAAGGCATCTGGAAGAGGAGGCTGGAGTCCTGGAATCCTGGGATTAAGGAAGAAGGGGGCTGGAGTCCCAGATTCCCTAGGTTTGTGGGGGGCAACAGGGGCCACAGAAGAGTCCTAGACTCTGGCCAGCTCATCTTACTCTTGTTGAACAAGCTCAAGCTCACCTGCCCAAGGCCTGCTGGGAGTTGTGATTTATAGGGCCGTCCTGAAGGCTCTCTCGCCACCCTCTCCTTGCAGCAAGGCATCCACTTCTCCATCGTGTCTCCCCGGAAGCTGCCTGCTCTGCGGCTTCTGTTTGAGAAGGCGGCTCCCCCAGCCCTACTGGAACCTCTGCAGCCACCGACAGATGTGAGCCAGGACCCCCGGCACATGGTGCTGGTGCGGGGGCTTGTGCTGCCCGGTGAGGCCTGGTGTGGGCTCAGGCTGGGGTGGGAACATGAGGGGGGCTTCCCTTGCCCACCCGTGAACTGGCTCTTCTCTCTCCTCTTGGGCCCCTCTCCATCCTTCTGGCTCTCAGTCGGAGGTGGCTCAGCCCCAGGACCCCTCCAGCCAAAGCAGCCCGTCCCACTGCCTCCAGCCCCCACCTCTGGTGCCGCGCTCTCAGCAGCACCCCAGCAGCCTCTGCCCCCCGTGCCTCAGCAGTACCAGGTAAGGCGTCACTAGGAGCAGGATGAGTTCCTGGGGCTTGGGACGGCCCCATTGGATGTTGGGATGATGGGAGCCTCCCTCAGGATACGAGATTTAAAGGAGTCTTGTTGCCATGGGATGTTGGACGTTGTGACCTCATGAGACACTGATCCCTCCCAGAAAATCTGCCTTTTGGTTGGGGTACGTGATCCTCACCACCCTCCCGTCTCCCCTCAGGTCCCTGGGAATCTGAGTGCGGCTCAGGTAGCTGCCCAGAACGCAGTGGAGGCCGCCAAGAACCAGAAGGCTGGGCTGGGCCCACGCTGTGAGTCCTGGGCAAGTTGGGGAAGGAGGGCCCAACAGTCATTCACCTCACCCATGTCCGCTCACATCTGTTCCCGCTCTTCTCCTGCAGTCTCACCCATCAACCCTCTCCAGCAGGCTGCTTCAGGAGTGGGTACCCCCTTCAGCCAGGCTTCAGCCCCCCCAATGCCCCCGGGGCCCCCTGGAGCCCCGAAGCCAACTCCCGTGTCCCAGCCCAGCCTGGTGTCCAGCGTGGCTCCCGGCTCAGGCCTGGCTCCCCCTGTGCAGACTGGGGCACCATCCATGGTAGGTGGTGGCACTCCCCCCACGTTCCCCCCAATGACCTTTCCTTCCTCGTGGCTGAGAAGGTGCCCACAGTGAGCTGTTGGCTTTCCTGAGAAGGGCCCAGGGGCTGTGGCTCGAGCCTTGCAGGCTTATGCACTTCATGCTACTGACTCAACTGAGATTCGAGGGTCTAGAAAGATGGTAGACCTTGTGCTTCCTTAAGGAGCCCAAGGCATCCTGGGATTTGTAGTTCCTGGGAGTCCTTAAATTTAGAGGGGTGGTAGTAGAACAGCATTCTGGGGGTTGGGGTGCCCAGTCTGGTCCTGTCAGGATGTTCCCTCTCATAGTCTGACCCCACTACCATTGCTCTCCTTCCTCCCCTCTGGCAGGCAGGCTCGGTGGCCCCAGGAGGTGTGAGCGGCCCCTCCCCGGCCCAGTTAGGGGCTCCAGCACTTGGGGGGCAGCAGTCAGTGTCCAACAAACTTCTGGCCTGGAGTGGGGTCCTCGAGTGGCAGGAGGTGAGTGGACTTGGGGGAGCCATGTGGACTTACAGGGGACCTGGGGGCGGGGACAGGCTGGGGTTCCCTGAGGTGTGAGACTCTGGTCTCAAGAAGCTGTAAGTTAACCCCGAGTTAAGGAGCAGACAGAGTAAGAATGCGTTTATTAGATGCAGAACCTGGAGAAATTTGGCCTTTGGGGTCCCAACAGAGATCAAAGAGAGTAGGGTTATAGGAGTATAGGGTTTAGGCGCCAGGAGAAGAGTGCAGCATTTAAGGAATTTGGAAGCTTAGAGGATTCTGGGATTGAAGGTCTTGGGCGTAGCCCTGGTTCCTGGGAAGCTCCTGAGCTTTGGGACATCCAGGACGGGAGTAGCCCCTTGTGATCACAACACTCTTCTTACTCTTCTGGCCCCTCAGAAGCCAAAGCCCGCCTCTGTGGATGCCAACACTAAGCTGACGCGCTCTCTGCCCTGCCAGGTCTACGTGAACCATGGAGAGAACCTGTAGGTGTCCATGAGGGCAGGGTGGGTGGGGGTCGGGTGGGTGTGCAGCCTGCTGACCCTGTCCTGGCCTCCTCGCAGGAAGACGGAGCAATGGCCGCAGAAACTGATCATGCAGCTCATCCCCCAGCAGCTCCTGGTGAGTCCCCCTCAGCCCTGTTCTCATCCCCATTCCCGTTCCTCTCATACTCCCCTGCTAACACGGTAATCGGCTTCTGTGTCTCCCCCAGACCACCCTGGGCCCTTTGTTCCGGAACTCGAGGATGGTCCAGTTCCACTTCACCAATAAGGACCTGGAGTCCCTTAAAGGCCTCTATCGCATCATGGGCAATGGCTTCGTGAGTCCTGGGCTCTGGGGACCCCTGAGCACAAGCTCTGTCCTGCCTCCCTCAGACCCAAGGGGGCCGTTTCTCAAGGTCTCATCAGTTTGTGCACTTGACCTCCCCATTTTCTTCAGAGGTGTTAACTTTTTGTTTTTCAGGGTTTTTTGTGTGTGAATTGGTTGAAGATTTATAGGGCAGATCAGTTTTCCATTCAGTAATCCACACACATTTGTTTCATGGCATTGATTGTTCCACAACGGAACATCGTCCTCCTACTTCCTCCCTCTGTCTCCTTGCCTCCTCTTTCCCTAACTCTGCTGAACTATTTGTTCTTGGGCAAATGCTGCTCTGTGGATCAACTGGGTCATTATTCAGAGAAGTGTGAGCCTCTCAGTGTTACTGCTCCCCCTTATAAAGCTGCCTGTTGTGTGGCTGAAAATGAGCCTCTGGGGTGAGTTCATTTCTAGACCTGAGGGGTGACTAAGGGCCACAGTTTCTATCCGACTAAGCCTGGTCTTTGTTTTTGTGAATTTTGTTCCACATTTTTCTTCTGCTCTATCCAGGACCTTCTGTTGTGGTTCCTCTCAGAGTAATTGGTGGTGTAGCCAGGCAGCATCTCAAGGTTGTGGAGACTGGGGTTCGAGTGACCCCATTAGTCCACTGGACTCTTCTTTCCTCTGGACAGGGAGAGGGCCACTTCTTTTGTACTGTTTGCTCACAAGCTTTTAAGACCCCAGTCACTATTCACCAAAGCAGGATGTAGAGCGTGGTCTCTTTGGATTATGTCATGCCAGTTGACTTTTGTGTCCCTTCAGACCAAGGCCCTGAGTCCCGTGAAGCATTCTCTCAAGGTATTTGGATATGTCTAAAAGTAGGACTCCTGGTGTGACGCTGTGGGTTAATGCGCTAGACTGCAAAAATGTCTGAGCTCACCAGCTGCTCCTTGGAGACCTATATAGGGTCACTATGGGTCGGAACCAACTTGATAGCACTTAAAAACATCAACAACAAAAAGTTGTTATAGCTTGGCTCCCAGTGTGCTCTACCACATGAATGAATGAATATATTTACAGCAAAGCAAACTACCTGTGCACAAACATTTTTCAACAAAACTCTATATGTATGTGGGGTGTACTCCCACACCTTTCTGCCTGGGTGTCTCCATGTATCTACCCGTGTTGTTAAGTGCCGTCGAATCAGTTCCGACTCATAGCGACCCTATAGAATCTCCGAGGAGTGGCTGATGAGTTTGAACAGCTGATCTTGTAGTTCCAACCAACCTTGCAGTCCAGTACTTCATCCTGCAGCGCCACACCATTATTGCAGGACTGTATGTAGCAGGATTTATCTCTGTTACCCTTAACTCTTGATTTTTTTTTTTTTTTTTGAGCTGGCTACCTTATTGTATATTGCTTTCCCCTTCAGCCAAGCTGACATGTGTACTCTCTAGCCAAGGAACTCCTGGTAGCGTAGTAGATTATGAACTTGGCTGTTAACCCAAAGGTCAGCAAT